TCAGTGAGAATCTACAATGTAAATAGTCATGAAAATAAAGAAAACGCATTGAATGAGAAGGTGTGTCCAAACTTTTGGCCTGTACTGTAGGTGCAGTGTTATCTGAAGCAAATAATAAAATGTTGCCCTTGCATTGCAGTTCTACTGGATCTGTATCTGTGGCCAAATGTTTTTTTTTATATCAGTATCAGCAAATGACATTGTTGGTTACAGGTGGCAAACTCTGGTGGGCAGATGAGGAATCAGCACAACTGGGAACAGTAACCAAGAGAGACGGACGAAACCTTGTGATCCTGAGAAACAAAACGAGTGGGGTGGTTCATATGAAGGTGTACGACAGGGAGGGTCAGAAAGGTAACCATGCTCACAAACACACAGATAAAGACACAGAAACGCATACACACTACCCACACATACTTACTAATGGTACCTTATTTTTTGCTTTTTGCTGGTTGTGCCTAACCCCCAGGAAGAAACCAGTGCCAGATAAACAACGGAGGATGCTCACAGCTCTGCTTCCCCACTTCGGAGAACACCCGTAGCTGCTCCTGCACCGTTGGCTACAACTTGCGTAGCGACCGCATGTCTTGCGAGGGTACGTTTCCCAAAATATGTTCTCTAGAGCTGCTGATATGTTCCTATCAGCATTTTATTTTTCACACCTCTTTGAAATTCTTCTGCATTCATTACTCTAAATGTGAAGCAATGTGATTAATCTATGATAGGTCAAAGAACATTCATAGTTTACAATGCTTTAATACTTGTGTTTAGGGTATTAACAGGCCATTTATCGGTCTCTAGGTGTTGACTCCTTTCTGATGTATTCCATCCACGAGGGAATCCGGGGAATTGCTCTTGACCCAAATGACAACAGCGAAGCCCTCATGCCCATTACAGGAACACTGTTTGCTGTGGGAGTTGACTTTCATGCAGGTATGATATGTAACACACAGAGGGGCTGGTGGTACAGAATATAAGGTGCAGATATATCAGGGATCCACTGAAGCTTGAAGAGGTTTTTTTTTTTTTCTTTTTTAGAGAAGAGATATGGTTCAATGTGCTGTACATGCTGCATGTTGTTTGTGGTGTTTTTAAGTAGAAATTTGAAGTTGTTTTGCAGGCTTATGAATGGCTATGACCTTTGGTTTACCTGCAATTTGAGATGAAATTATTCTTCTTTAACTTTTATTTTCATTGAGATGCCAAGCTGACTGCTTGAATGTGGTCTTTAATGTCACTTCTGTAATCCAGTATTGTTTCAACCGTCTACTTTAAAGCAAGGCTTTAATGTCGCATACACTCACAAGGCATTTTGTTGAAAAGGGCAGGCACATATCTAAACCTCTACTCGTTCAATCTATGCATGAACATAACTACTAACACAAAAACAGAAAGCAATAGACCTCCAGTTTTCTCTCACCCATGGAAATGGCAGAGGAATTCTTAGTGCAGCTTTGCATTTTTAATTATAATGTAGTTTAATAATGTGGAAACCTTATATGAAACCCGATGATAATAATAGAGTTTCACATTGACTACACACACCATCCTTCAACTACATGATTAGGTTCAAGACCAATGTTGCCATTCACATGCTCTCCCTAAGTGTCTGAGACATAGAATCCCTCCAGGCAAGCTGCTCTGTAGTGGTCTTTCTAATGTCAAGTGGATATGATTGCCTTTACTGTTTCTATTCATACTTGACTATACACAATCAAATGCAGCCTATACTGTATATAATGGTTGATGTATAACATAAAAGTGTGTACCTCATGAGACAGCAATACTTCACTGGTACTGAAGTTGTTAAATGACTATTTAATTACACAACGCACTTCCCTTCCTTTATATCCCACAGCACAAATATTTCCTTCTCAATCTTTAAGTAAGGGGGTTAGAGGGGGGGAGAAAATGGTATTTCTTATACTAGGCTTAAACCTTTTGAATAATGCTCTTTGGGATGTGAAGTGCAGGGTAGATGGAGTAGTAATAACTTCACATTACAGGGGAACCTCAGCATGAATAACTATTTCCTCACAACCCTCTGAAACAATCCTAATACATTGCAATTCTCAAGATATTGTATCAAATGAAGGTACCATAACGTGCATTGCAAAACATGAACCCAGTAGCACTTGCTGTCGTTTGTTATGTCCCTGCTTCCTTTCACTGTATTATTTGTATGATAAAAATGATAGATTTATTACAACAACAAATGCTATGAATAAACTACAGGCTGGTAGAGCTCCATATATGTAATAGGTTGCCACTGAAGCATGATAACAGAAGCTGTCTAAAGGAAATTGCATGCGCACAACTGGAAACAGAAACAAACTGCATACACACAAGGGTTCATACACTAGGGATTTATAGCATTTTTTTTTTTAAAGCAGCACCAGATTAAAAAAAAAAATGCATGCTTCGGTAATTCCACATGTATTCTATGACTTCCCTAAGTAGGTTTACAAAAAAAAAAATCTGAGTATAAAATTCATGGAATTGGTTGCTAATACGGATTTAACATTCCCAGCTAACTAAATGACCATTATCTAGAGAAGGGAGAAAACCATACCAGAACAAACACCACAAATGAAATTATGTTCACATATCTATCGACAGAAGTCTATTGACAACAAAACCATAAAAACGATCTGCATGGCCATTCAGGGTCAGAAAGTCAGAAAATGTTTCTTTTTAGCCACTGAGTTGGTGAATCAACCAATTTAAACTAAAATATCTCAACAACTACTGGGTAGAGTTCCATAAAATTTGGTACAGATAATAACCCCGTTAAAGGGGTTTTTTTGGGGGGGAGTTTTTCCTTATCCGCTGTGAGGGTCCAAAGGACAGAGGGATGTCGTATGCTGTAAAGCCCTGTGAGGCAAATTGTGATTTGTGATATT